GCACTTGAAAGAAGAGCAATGAAAGTCAGCCGTTATAAGACAGAGTACATGTGTATGAATGAGAGGGAGGATGGTGGAACAGTGAGGCTACAAGGAGCAGAGGTCACAAAGGTGCAGGACTTCAAGGACTTGGGGTCCACTGGACAGGAAAATGGGGAATGTGGTAAAGAGGTGAAGAAGAGAGTCCAGGCAGGATGGAGAGGATGGAGAAAAGTTTCAGGAGTGACTTGTGACAAAAGGGTGTCATTAAAGGTCAAAGGAAAAGTTTACAAGACAGTGATGAGACCAGCTATATTGTATGATCTGGAGACAGAGACATGGACAAAAATACAGGAGACAGAACTGGAAGTGTCAGAAATGAAGATGTTGAGGTTCTCCTTAGCAGTGACAAGGATGGATAAGATCAGGAATGAGATCATCAGAGGTACAACACAGGTTGTTCAACTGGGAGATAAAGTTAGAGAGGACACACTGAGATGGTTTGGACATGTCCAGAGGAGGGACAGTGGGTATATTGGTAGAATGATGTTAGAAATGCAGCTGCCAGGAAAAAGACAAAGAGGAAATATATGGATGCAGTTAGAGAGGACATGGAGGTAGTTAGAGTGAGGACAGTGTGAGATGGAGGAGGATGACTCACTGTGGAGACTCCTGAAGAGGGAAAAGCCGAAAGAAGAATAAGAAGACCATTACAAATGGAATTTCAAATGTTATTAGTGATTCATTCTTAGATTTGTACATATTTACAGTTGTAGGGCAGTACAGGTCACTGACCATGTTGGTAAGTGGATTTATATAATTTACCATATGGCCCCTCTATCAACAGAGATCAGAACAGGCAGCTCCACTAGTCTCATTAGTAGATAAAATATTCCTCCCTGTAGACACATTCTGCTGGTTTTATCACATCGTTACGACCACTATTAGCTCTGGACCTTATGCGATCTTATGTGCTGCTGCGTTCATCCGTGGAGACGTTCTGTTTAACACTCCATTTGGAGCAGACAGACCGGACATAAACAGAACACAGAAAACTGAGGAAAAAGGGACCAGGACATTTTCACCAACACGATAAGATTTTATTTAACAAACTCTGTAGCTTCTAAAGGTGTGAGGCTGCAGCTGTGCTTCAAGCCCTGGTCACAGCTTTGAAGCAGAAAGGTGAAGACATATGCCACCAACATTTCTTTACTTTTATATACTTCTTAAATGACTTCACAGAAGTCATTTGCCCCCATTTAATTTAGTTAAAATAGAGTCATATTGCAAGATTAGTGATCACATAAAATTAAAAATCAAATCCAGAAAGCTGTTTACTTATCTGTTTCATTTTACCCAGTTAAGTAAAACCACCCCTTTCGGCTGGGGTGGATGTGTGGGTGCGTGTGGCGTCTGTTTCTGATCTAATTATTAGATCAGATTTTTCACAGACCATAACCTCAACCAGCAGGTAAGAGAAAAAAGGTGACAGTTGAGGAAAATTACAATAAAATAAAGATTAATCAACATACTTCCAATATTTTTCTGCAGAAAATGTAAAGCAAATTTAAAAAATTGTTGGGCTGGTGATTCAAGAATTGAATGTCCACTCTATTTTAAACAGGTTGTAACAGTCTGTCCCTTATCTGTCTGGTATTTCTGTCTTCCCCTTTTCTGCTTGTTGTGTTTATGTCATTCTGCTCTTTATACTTTTGTGTGATTCTGTTCCTGTGTTTCTGATTCTGTTTTCTGTCATTTTCCACTCGTTCCTCAGTCTGCCTCTCCAGTCCTCAGTCTTCATCATTCACACCTGTCTCTCATCAGCCACCTGCCCAGGTGCTCTCATTACTCTCTCTTCCTCTGTCTTATAAAAAGCCTTTCTCTCCTCCACTCATGTCCGGTCATTGTTCTGTTCTGTACAGACAACACAGTCCTCCTGTTTCTGATTTTCGAGTTCCTGTCTGATTCTGTACCTGTCCTGTTTTTGCCTGCCTGTTCCCGTTGCTGTAAGTTTTGCTGCCACGTCAGCATTTTTGTTTAGTTGTTTAAAATAAATTATTTTTATTTTAAAACTCCTGCCTTCGCCTGCCTGCCTGTAAATGGTGGTGCAAACCCGGTGGTGGACACCGTCGGTGAGGGATGCTGTCAGGCTGAAGAAGGAGTCCTATCGGGCCTTTTTGGCCTGTGGGACCCCGGAAGCAGCTGATGGGTACCGGCAGTCCAAGTGACATGCGGCCCGGGTGGTCGCTGAGGCAAAAACTTGGGCATGGGAGGAGTTTGGAGAGGCCATGGAGAATGACTTCTGCACAGCTTTGAGGCGATTCTGGTCCGCCATCCGGCGTCTCGGGGGGGAAAGTGGTACACCACCAACACTGTTTATAGTGGGGGTGGTGTGCTGCTGACCTTAACTCGGGATGTCGTGGGTCGGTGGACAGAATACTTTGAAGACCTCCTCAATCCCACTGGCACATCTTCCACTGAGGAAGCGGAGCCTGGGGACTCTGGGTCGGGCCCTCCAATCTCTGGTGCTGAGGTCACCGAGGTGGTTAAAAAGCTCCTCGGTGGCAGGGCCCCAAGGGTGGATGAGATTTGCCTTGAGTTCCTTAAGGCTCTGGATGTTGTAGGGTTGTGTTGGCTTACACGACTCTGCAATATTGCGTGGACAGTGGGGAAAGTTCCCCTGGATTGACAGACTGGGGTGGTTGTCCCCCTATTCAAAAAGGGGGACCGTAGAGTGTGTTCCAACTACAGGGGGATCACGCTCTTAAGCCTCCCTGGTAAGGTCTATTCGGGGGTTCTGGAGAGGAGGGTCCGTCGGAAAGTCGAACCTTGGTATCAGGAGGAGCAGTGCAGTTTTCGTCCTGGTCGTGGAACACTGGACCAGCTCTACACTCTCAGCAGGGTCCTGGAGGGTGTGTGGGAGTTTGCTCGATCGGTCTACATGTGCTTTGTGGACTTGGAGAAGGCGTTCGACCGCTTCCCTCAGGGAACCCTGTGGGGGGTACTCTGGGAGTATGGGGTACCGGGCCCGTTGATACGGGCTGTTAGGTCCCTGTATGACCGGTGTCATAGCCTGGTCCGCATTGCCGGCTGTAAACCGGGCTTGTTCCCAGTGAGAGTTGGACTCCGCCAAGGTTGCCCTTTGTCACTGATTCTGTTCATAACTTTTATGGACAGAATTTCTAGGCGCAGCCAAGGTGTTGAGGGGATCCATTTTGGTGGCCTTAAGATTGCTTCTCTGCTTTTTGCAGATGATGTGGTCCTGTTGGCTTCATCAGATCGTGATCTACAGCTTTCGCTGGAGCGGTTCACAGCCGAGTGCAACACAGCCAGGATGAAGATCAGTTCCTCCAAATCCTAGGCCATGGTCTTGAGCCAGAAAAGGGTAGAGTGCCCTCTCTGGGTCAGGGAGGAGGTCCTGCCCCAAGTGGAGGAGTTCAAGTATCTTGGGGTCTTGTTCACGAATGAGGGGAAAATGGAACATGAGAGCAATAGGCGGATAGGTGCAGTGTCTGCAGTGAAGCGGGCGCTGTACAGGTCTGTCGTGGTGAAGAGAGAGCTGAGTCAAAAGGCGAAGCTCTCAATTTACCGATCGATCTATGTTCCTACCCTCATCTATGGTCATGAGCTTTGGGTTGTGACCGAAAGAACGAGATCTCAGATACAACGGTCGAAATGAGTTTTCGCCGCAGGGTATCTGAGCTTTCCCTTAGAGATAGGGTGAGAAGCTCAATCATCCGGGAGGGACTCAGAGTAGAGCCGCTGCTTCTCCACGTCGAGAGGATCCAGTTGAGGTGGCTCGTGCATCTGGTTAGGATGCCTCCTGGACGCCTCCCTGGTGAGGTGTTCTGGACATGTCCCACCCAGAGGAGACCCAGAGGAAGACCCAGGACACGCTGGAGGGACTATGTTTCTCGGTTGACCTGGGAACGCCTCGGGATTCCCCCGGAGGAGCTGGACCAAGTGGCTGGGGAGAGGGAAGTCTGGGCCTCCCTACTTAGGCTGCTACCCCAGTGACCCGACCCCAGATAAGCAGAAGAAACTGGATGGATGGATGGATGGATGTTGCTTTGGCCTATAAATCGTAGGGCAGGTAAATTATGCAAATAAACTGTGACTTATAGGCTGGAAAATATGGTACATTACTGTATGTATGTTGTTAATATGGTGTAGATTTAAGAGTTTAGAGCATTGCAAAAGTGTGGGAAGGGTTTATAAAGCCTTAAAATATATAAATACTAAAATAAATACAATGTCCTTACTTCGCGGAATTTCAGTTACCGGGGGGGGTCTGGAACATAACTTCCGCAATAAACGAGGGACTACTGTAGTCAGTTAAGTGATCTTAACACATCTTAAAACATATTTATACTATTAGGCTTTCACTGTAATGCTTTTCCTTCCATCCATCCATTTTGGGTCGCAGGGGTCACTGGTGCCCATATCCAGCTATCACTGTGCGAGAGGTGGGTACACTCCGGACAGGTCTCAAGTCCATCACAGGGACACATAGAGACAAACAACCATTCACTCTCCCACTCACACCTAGAAACAATTTAGTTACCAATCAGTCTAACATGCATGTTTTTGGTCTGTGGGAGGAAACTAGAGTACCCGGAGAAAACCCACACATGCACGGAGAGAACATGCAAACTCCACCCAGAAAGGCCCCCATGCCAGAATTCAATTTGGCGACAAATTTACATATGTATGTGTATCTTATCTCACTCAGCCTTATAACCTGAACCCCTCACTCACTGCTCTTTGAATTGAGAAAGCTCCTCGGATGAGGAGCGAAACGTCTTCTGTTAAAAATAAAGTCCAGTTGTTTTTATATTGAACATTTTTTGAATTTGTCATGTCCTGAATGACAGAGAATCTTAACCAGCTTAGTATAGAAGCTAATTTATAACTTAATTGAAAAGACAAACTAGAAATCACATAGCAAAACTTCATGCAGTCCCCAAAGGGGAGAACATTTGTCCTGTTGCCATGCAGAGAATATCAAAGCTCTAACTCACCTATAACAGACACACAGCCCAGTGGGGCTATAAGTGATGCTGGGGCAAAGCCGTATGCAGCGAAGTTCCCCAGTTCCCCAACACCCATGAGAAGCACGCCACACCACCACATAACAGAGGTGTAATAGGGCTTGGAGCCCCGCTGAGCCTGCCGGACATGAGCATATTTCTGTTGGGAAGAGCAAGAAAGGGAAACTATTGGTTAGAAAAGAAGGACTGGAGAGCTACACAAACTGCTACACCAAACAACAATTAATTCAGTCTGAAACGGTCGAACACCCCAAACTTCATAACAGAGGTGTGATTTATTAACACAGATTAATCATCATACATATGCAGCATGACAGTTCTATAAATGTCCTAATATCTGCACATCATAGTTTTGGTATTTACTAAACAGAGTGCAGCTGAGCGTGAAGAGCATTGCACTGGAATGATCAAACTTATACAGGAGGAGAAAAACAAGGATCAGTCTACTGCAGCCTGCAAAGCCTTCCAGCCTGGTAAACGGTGTGTGTATATGAGTGCATGTGTGTGTGTGTGTGTGTTAGTAGGTAATGAATTAAATTTAATCTACAAATTGCTGTTAATTGAACAGCATGTTGCTCAGAAAAGAAAGACTTCAATTGGAATTGATAAGTATCAGGGGTGCATTATTATAATACATAATCAGGTTCTGACGGGGAAAATCAAAACGTGGCATGTTTGCTTTATTTTTTAAAAGATGCATTGCTCTTTTCAAGGTTAAATCAAAATGAACTTGTGTTCATGTCAAACTGAGCCGTTTGTACAGCCATGACATGCGCTTTTCCTCTTTCACAGAGCTCGTGTCAGAGCCCGAGGGCAGGTTTACAAAATTCAACAAAGAGCAAGCTGTCAGAAGGAAGGCAGTGTGGCAGCGTATAATCTTTACCTTCAGAGGCGTTATGCATTTCTGTGCGTCGAGTTTCTGTCGTACAGCAGGAGCTGCATGTCCCTTACCTGTATGTTGAGTGAAATGCTGATGAGGAAATTCCCACATATGGAGACGATGATTCCCAGAAGATAGTTCTGTGCAAACAGTAAACAAGCAGAAGATTAGGCAACGCTCTATTTGCCAAACAACACGTGCACACAGCGCGTAATACGCCTTGAAAGTCACATCTCCAGCTGTCACAGCTGTCATTTCCATGACAACCACAGAAAGTGGTACTTCACTGGGGCTTTAGTTTGAAAGGTGTTAGTGTGTGCTCGTCTTTTAAATGGGGCTTTGGAGGTCTATTGATATATGTTTTTACACACACACAACACACACACAAAATTACAAGCAGGAAAAGCAACATAGATAAAAAAAAAAAGACATTTGACCCACTTGAAAAACACAAACACTCCCTTCCCCTAAAAGTCCCATGATATCTGACACCTAGACGCATGTCGGTACACACCTTCAACTCCACGTTCAGAACACATATTCAACGGTTGGAGGAAAAGCACGCTCACACCAGCAGCTAATGTAGAGAAAATGCAGTCGTGCTCATCATCTTTAGTAGTTTCACATATTAATATGCACAAATAAAACATATTTTTACAATAAAACCCCCCAGATTTGATACAAAAAAGGTTAAATCAAGTCATCTGGACAGTTACTGACTCGTAAATAGTATTCAGGTTAGCATACCCTATCTTTGTTTAAAAACAAAAAGTTTATCATCTGGCTATATTTTATGAATAGAACCAGTACTGTCTTTTCACTACATGTTTAGCCATAATACAAACAACTGTGTAAACCATTTTATTTAAAAGCATATACTACTGTAGTTATCAAAACACAATCCTAATAGGTTTTAGTATTTCTAGGCATGATCAAAAACTGTGACGCACGTATAATTCAAGTAGACGGGACATTAGACAGACGTCAAACTGTAGACTCCTCAAGTGTAAACTCAAAGTCGGTATTTTATGATGCATTATGGTTTAGACAGGATCATGCCTACTTTTGGTTCTTTAGCGTCAAACTGAATTTGATTTGTCATTTGTGTATATTTGTTCCTATCACTGACTATGGCCTCCTTATCTGATGAAAAATCATTAGACATTATTCTTCAGTTTGATGTTTCATCACTTGTGTTGAATTTTATCAATGGTTGGTGTGGATCCGCACAATCTAAACAGTGTTCACATCGACTTATGTTTCAGCTGCTTCGCAGCAACGCTGCGTGTTCAGGACATTTAACTTTCACAATGTAAAATATGAATAAACACATTTGTGAATGTGTCAAATAAAAATCAGGTGTAAAAGACCAAGCACAAGTGTTGAACGATGAATTTGAATATCAGAAATGGCTAAGAAAGTATTTCCGTGCAAGGTGCCTGATTTTACTCATTAAATGTAAAAGAGTCAATGTCAGCTTTGATAAGATAAAACTAAGTAAAAATATTGATATGAAATGTTGAATTTGTAACAAAATATGGACTTATTTAATGATTTCAGTAGTAAATCAGTGTGCTTAGTTTGTGAAAAACAATTTAAACCAGCCCTGTCCAACAAAACACGGAGAGAAATAGAAGCTTCGCTGCCCAAGCTGTAAACATCATCCAGACATTTTTACCAAGATTTACACATCCAGGCATGGTGCAGTCAAAAAGAGTGTGTCCTTCATTTCTACCTCAAGTATGAAACAAGAAAATAGGACACTTGTTGAAGCACAACAAAAAATAAATTTTCACTAGGAAGAAAAGAACGACAAAAAAATACCATTTTGTCATTAAGTTGATGTGTAAAATACTGCAAAACAGACAGATTTTTTCTTCACAGACTTTTGTGATGTTTATTATTACATGCATAATGTACATTTCTAACCTACAAAGCTCTCAACAACCTAGCTCCATCCTATATTACAGATCTTATTATTCCATATTTTCCTAACAGAGCACTTCACTCTCAGACTGCAGGTTTACTTGTGGTTCCTAGAGTGTCCAAAAGCAGAACAGATACTTAAACTCCTCCACTTGGGGTAGTACCTCCTCCCTGACCCGGAGAGGGCACTCTACCCTTTTCCAGCTCAAGACCATGGCCTCGGATTTGGAGGAACTGATCTTCATCCCGGCCGCATTGCATTCGGCTGCGAACTGCTCCAGCGAAAGCTGTAGATCACGATCTGATGAAGCCAATAAAACCACATCATCTGCAAAAAGCAGAGACGCAATCCTAGGCTTAAGCGGTGCTTAATTTGAGCCGGATCCAGCCGGATCAAGATCCGGGAAGTCTATCATTTAGATCAGGCGTGTTCTGGCAACTGTTTGCTCGGATCCGGCAACTGAAATCTTCGCCCCTAAGAGTCCAAAGTCATTGCATTTTTATTATTTATTAAAAATACAATGACAGGAGACGTTGCCCAGTCTGTGGAGCAGATGTTCCAGCCACAGACACTCCCTCCCTCGCAATCCCCCCCCCACCCCCACCCCCCACGTTGGACTACCTGCTATTTGTGTTCCGTCATCAATCGATTTACAAATTAAGCCCTGGGCTTAAGTCTTTCCTTTTTGATAAATCATATACTTAGGGTCAGCTTGGTTTCCTGAGCTATCCCTTAGCTATGCTGCTATAGACTTAGACTAATGGAGGACAAAATGACCACATTTCCTCAGATGAATAGTTACAAATGAATACAAATTAATACATTGTATTTATAATTATTTCTATCTTAAAATGTGGTTATTCTTATAATTGTTTTGTGTTTTACCTCCTATAGAAAAACCTGTTTGCCTCCATTCTGGACCTGTCATTCTATGTTTGTTTCTCCTTCTTGTCCTCTCAAACCCAGCCGGTAGAAGTAGATGGTCTCTTGTCCTGAGATTGGTTCTGCTGGAGATTTCTTCCTGTTAAAAGGGAGTTTTTCCTTTCCACTGTTGCCTTTGTGCTTGCTGAGGATGGGACTCTGACAAAGTGAAGATTCAATGAGTTTGCTGTTTCCTTAGATAGAGAACTTTTACTAATTGGCTTTTTATGTATGTGAATATTTCTTTTCAGTGCCCTGAGACAACTTCTGTTGTGACTTGGTGCTATATAAATAAACTGAATTGAATTAAAATAAAGTTTTAATCCTCACTGTGACTGGATTAAAAGTAAATGACAAAATTAAATGGCTTGTAGGCAGACAGAGCTTGTAGAGACAACTAAATTAATAATTAAAGAGTAAATAAAGTTTTCTACCTCATATTGAAATAGCTATGCAGCACGGTGGCACAACTGGTAGAGCTGCTGCCTCTCAGCGAGCAGGTCCCCGGTTCAAACCCTGGTCCGGGGGCCTTTCTGGGTGGAGTTTGCATGTTCTCTCCGTGCATGCGTGGGTTTTCTCCGGGTACTCCGGTTTCCTCCCACAGACCAAAAACATGCATGTTAGGCTGATTGGTAACTCTAAATTGTCCCTAGGTGTGAGTGAGAGAGTGAATGTTTGTTTGTCTCGTTTGTCTCTATGTGGCCCTGTGATGGATTTGCAACCTGTCCAGGGTGTACCCCGCCCCGGCACAGTGATTGCTGGACATGGGCACCGGCGACCCCCGTGACCCAAAATAGAAGAAGCGGGTAAAAGATAATGGATGGATGGATATTGAAGTAGCTGGTTGCTGGTATTAAAAAGGCCAAGGCCACATATGCACAGAGGATCGAGGGTCAATTCACATTACAAGACCCACGGACTTACCCACTTCTCAAGTAACCAAGAGCCAAAAAAAACCCCATTCATAGTTTAGAGGCATTTTAAGATAAAAACAGTTATGACAATAGACCGCTCAGTTCTTAATATACCGGTGATAAATGTGTTTGAAAAGTCACTGTGTAATGTTTAAGTGCTAACTCATTAACTACTCAGTGTCTGTACTCACCATTGACAAATGCCCAAACTGACGTATTTGTACTTTTACTCAGTCTATTAAAAACTATTAAAACATCCCTTAAATGGTCATCAAAGTCTGCAGAACATCCATCCATCTATCCATTATCTTTTACCCACTTCTTCCATTTTGGGTCGCGGGGGTCGCCGGTGCCCACGTCCAGCAATCATTGTGTGAGGGGTGGGGTACACCCTGGACAGGTCTCCAGTCCATCACAGGGCCACATAGAGACAAATGAGACAAACAACCATTCACTGTCTCACTCACACCTTGGGACAATTTAGTTACCAATCAGTCTAACATGCATGTTTTTGGTCTGTGGGAGGAAACCGGAGTATCCAGAGAAAACCCATGCATTCAGGGAGAGAACATACAAACTCCACCCAGAAAGGCCCCTGGACTGGGATTTGAACTGGGGTTCTGCTCGCTGAGAGGCAGCAGCCTGCAGAACATATAGAATGATACAAAAATGTATGGCTTTTAGGTGTTAGACATGAGAGTTTAAAGCACTGATGTGGACTGACTGATGAGGGTTTCTAAAACGCATTAAAATTCTCCCACACTATACTCGTTAGAAATATTTTTCATTTCAGAAGTCCTACATCTGCACGTAGACCCTTTAAGCTGGAAATCTGAACTGCTTTTTAAGGTAATTTAAGAGAAACATACTGGAATGTTTTTCACTCCCATAATGGTGGGGAAAGTATTGCCAAGAGGAAATTCAATTCCAGGTCATCAACATATATTGGCTACGGGTTGAAAAACCTTTAAAAACACAGCTGAAGTAAAATTTAAATGATTACACCTTATGCTGTAAAAACAATTTCTGCAGAAGTAATAAAAGCAGCCAAGATTCTCTTTATCACATTAAACAGATGAGAGCAATTGAAGGTTAGAAGAAAAGGGGTAGGAAAAAAAAAGACTAAGTGGGAGAGGAAAATCAAAAAGGGAGATGGAGAGTTTTCACAGACCATGTGTAGTACAACCAGATTACCAAATGGAAGTGATATAGAAATTATTATTTTAATGCTTTTATGTCAATCTAGACCTATATTACACTTATTTAAACACACTTATACAACGTGTTATTCACATATTAGGGATTGTATTTTGTATTATGTTTTCAAACATATACTTTGTGTGTGTGTGTTGCTTATAATATTTAGACACTCTTTGAT